AAGCAGCAGGACACGCTCCTAGGCGCTGAGGAGTTCGGTGGCCGCGGGATCGATGATGGCCATGGCGACGGTGTTGCGGGTGCGCTCGGGATCGAGGGAAACGGCGCGAGAGGGAAGAGTGGGGAAGAACTAGAGCTAGGGTTCCGTCGGGGATGTCGAGATGTAGCCTTATCCATCCAGGGAGCCGCGGGATGGCCGACAGCGCGACATCCACGGCGTGGACGGCGTGCGAGCATTGCCAGCGCCATGGCCTCCCTGTTCTGTTCAAGTGGTAGGAGAAAAGCCCACTGGTGGGCTGGGCCTTCTATAGTACTAGGCTTTTAGGTGAACAGTGTTATGCTTTAACTCTTCTTCTCTTTTATTTTTTATTTCTCTGTTTAGTTTTTCTACACTGCTTTGCATTAAGTAGAGCCACCAATGCATTTTTTAAAATAAGAAACTTGCCAGATCAAATACTAGGCATCATTTCGTATTGCCACAAAAAGGTTTGGTGAGCATTTGAATTCATTTGGATTTTGCATAAATGAAAATGGATTAATGGGCCTGTTTTGGTCACTGTTTTAATTATTTTAGGGTATTCAAATACTTCTAAAAATGTTGATTTCTCCACCATTAATACTTAGGATTTATTTTTCACATTTAGCACATTTTAGTTTTTAATATTTGAAGATATTTGTTGTTTGTTTGATTTTTTTTATTTGAATCTGAACCGGTTTCGAACTAACACGAGATTAGTAACAGTGATCGGGGTGATGTGGCATCATTAGCAGAGGTTCACTGTAGCTTAAATATCCGGGTGTCACACTTCAGCTGTTGCCGCGTCCACCACATGCTCAAGTTTTTCATTGGACGCCGCTATGAATCCCCCTCTGTCATCCCTCAGCACTGCCCCGACCGCTCCACTGAGAGTTTCTACATGGAATGCTGCATCAACATTGAGCTTAACACATCCCTCCATAGGCTTGATCCATCGTTCCTTCTTCACCCCAGTCTCCTTCTTCCTTGCATGCGTATAATTTGCAGCTAGGGCAGAAATTGACAAAGCCGACCGAGCTGGCGATTGGACCTCTTCTCCATGAACTAGTTGCCTTCTCTCCCACCAGATATACCATATCCCAACGAGGATTAATGTTTGTGCACTCACCTCTGGAAGCAGGCTTCCTCTCGTTGGCATACATAAAATATGGTCCAAAACTGAAGAACCAGCTCTGTCTACATTACTCGCCTCCCCCACAAATCCATCTAGTTTTAGACATCTCCATATTTCCGACGCTCTTGGACAGGTAAATAATGCATGCTTGATGTCCTCACAGCCTCTTGCACACATCGGACAGTTCCTAGGCAAAGCAATATGTCGGTTTGCCAGAACTCCAAAACATGGTACGAACCCATGCAGGACTTTCCATGCGTGGATCTTGATCTTTCCCGGCAATGAGGACTCCCACAGCTTCGCCCATACTGGATAGCGCTGTGATTGTTGGCCTTCCGTTCTCTCAAACCATCGTCCAAACTGGTGATCCCACTCAGCATGGTACGCCGACCGGACTGTGAACATGTTATTCTTCGTAAATCTCCAAGCCACAAAGTCGTCCATAATACCCTGCGGCGCGAGCGGGATCGCCAAAATTCTCTCTGCATCAACCTGCCAAAACGTATCCATCACAAGCTCTTGATCCCATACTCCTGTTACCGGATCGATCAGGTCGTCCACCTTTGACAGCAGATTTGCTCCTCTCAGGGTCACTACGCGTCCGTCCGCGCTCCCAGCGATCCACGGGTCAGACCAAATATTAACTTGAGAACCGTCTCCGATCCTCCAAATGGCACCTCTATTGAAGGTGTTGATCCCTGCACAAATGCTCTGCCACGTGAAAGAACACCCACTCTTCATCTTCGCTTCTAATAGTTTTCGATTGTTTTTACTATTTTTGTACTTATTTTTTTCCCGTGTCAGGTGCATACACACCCGAGAGCCAATGGGTATTTTCTCTTTCGGGTAAGACTATAGAGGTCTAGCGTTTCGACAAGTGCTCTTATTCTGCGCCTGTAGCAACACTCTCTAAAACGCACGAGGCTCCTCGTAATTTAGAAAATGGGATCTTACAAAAAGAAAAGAAAAAAGTAACAACCCTCCCACCATTCAAGGTAAAACTCACCAAAATACTCAAATGACAAGAAGTGGCCCATATTTCACTAGTGGAAAAAGTGCTAGCCACAACTTTCATTGATGGCGCGTCATTTTCAACCAACGCTAGCACTAGTTTTTTAAAATAGTTGTGGTGTTGGATTATTTGGTACAACATTATTAGGGACATAGTGGTGGCGCTAGATAATCGTTGAATGTCACAGGTACACGGGTCCCACGGATAGTAAAAGGCGTAATATAGTGTTGGCGTGGTATAACAAAGAACGCCAGAACAATTATGTTTAGTTGTGGCGTAAGATGGGTTGCCACGCCAGTACTACGGGTGTGTTTGGATTGTAGCCAAAGTGCACCTTACCAAAATTTTGGCCATGACCCAAAGATTGGTCTTTGTTTGGATGATTGCCAATTTTTTGGCATGCCAATGAACTCAACTCTAGTTCATTTTTCTTTCAATGTTGGCAAAATCATGGGCAACCAAAACCTCAACCAAAATTTTGGTTAGCCAATGCTTTGGTAGGGCAACCTTGGGCACTAATCAAACGCACGTGGGGTTCATTTTTATATATATTGTAGTTAGTTTTATTTTTGGAATTACTTTTATCTATAACTATTTATTTTTAATTGATTAGAATGTGTTTAATAATATTATACTTTCAGCGACGACGAAGACGGAAATGACTAACGGCTAGGGTTCATCCCCCTACATCAGGGTTTCAGTGGCAACGACGGAGCTAACAGCTAATCTCCCTCTGTCGCTAGGATTTCATTTCGTTTTGATTTGCATCGCTAGGGTTTTAGTGATTTGACTAGGCCAAATTGAATTAGAATGGTAGGCAAAATTGAATTAGAATGAGTAGGCTGGCAGTGGAAGATAATTTTAGAAATGTGTGGTGGTGTTCTTCTGGCACTACAATATTGTTATTGTGATCATGTGTGTTGTCGATGAAATGTGTTTGCTTTGTTGCATTTCTACAAATGTGTTTGCTCTAGTGCATTCCCAAGTTAGTGCCACATTGTTGGCATTTTTAGTTGATACATTTTTAGTGTAGTGTTTGCTCTAGTGCATTCCCAAGTCAGTGTCAACTGCTTCTCATATTCCTGCTTGTCAGCTACCCTCCCATGGTTTTGCTCATGAAACATTTCTCATAGCATGGACAAACAATTCTGAAGAACTAGAGGACAAGGCTGGTCAACCCACTCAGCAACACCACAATTAACACCTCCAGGCCGCATTTGTCAATTCATATTAACATAACCAAGTGCACTGAATCTCATAACAGATCACTGCATATTAAGTTACTAAAACTAAATATGTTTTTTACTGAAACTGAATATGTTGCTTACTGAAACAGAAATTGTTACTTATGTATACAAAAGTTCAGTCAACAATATATGCTTCCCACAAGGCTCTTCGGTGACATTTTAGTATTTGCTATCCTCCTAGTAATCCACTACAATCCCATGTGTTCTTGATCATATTATGTGTTTCTATGTGTAGAAAATGCCATGTATTCTTGATCATAGTATGTGTTTGTATGTGTAGAAAATTCCATGTATTCACGATCATAGTATGTGTTTGTATGTGTAGAAAATGCCATGTATTCTTGATCGTATATGATGTGTTTATAGGTCATGGCCAATTCCGGAGGCAACAACGAGGATGTGTACGATGTGGACATGGTCAACAAAGATCTCTTAGACGCTCATCACGCATCAACAACCTGCAATGGGCAAATGACGAGCTAAAGGTGGAGACTAAAGAGCTGCACAACGAGACTGTTCAACTCATTAAGAAGACTAATGAGCTGAGGTACGAGAGGGATAAGCTCATCGAGGATTGGGATAAACTGAAGTAGGAGAAAAAACTCCTCAGGGCAGAGAGGATTGACCTCAAGATGGACATAGCTCATTTCAAAATAGATGGAGAGGGCAATAGAAAGAAGCTTCGCAAGCTGAGTGTAATCCTTGATGAAGAGTAGTTTTAACTAGCTAGTCCATCTTATTAGTTGGTGATGATCGAGTAACTAGAGTTGATGAGAAACATTTGTGAAGTTTAATTAACTTGTTAAGTTCATGAGCATATTGTGTTAATAATTATCTATTAAGTAAGTAGCTAGTGTTGATGAGTATATTGTGCTAATGAGTATCTATTAAGTAAGTAGCTAGTGTTGATGAACAATTTTTTTATTACCAAAAAAAACATTTGATGGCGTTGGCCAAGGAGGCATGACAAAGTTAAGATGAACTTACTGCTGGCATTGGACAGGTAAGACGCCAGCAACACGTAGGATACTGCTGACATGGGCTCCAACGCCGCCACTAGTTTTTAGCAATGGTGCCATATTTATGGTGTTGTGTGTCCACGTCAGCAAGACTGTTTGTGGCACGCCATATTTTAGGCTTTTCTGCACTAGTGCTTATTGTGGCACCGATCATCACCTGAAGCGTTTTTATAACCTTTGGTAGGTGCGAGCATGCACTGTATTTCATACTTAAGAAATTCTTTTGATAGGGTGTGCAACCTATCACCAAGGTCCTTGGCGGCACTGTTATACCCTACCATTATGGACCCTGGCGGTAAGAAAATGGTCAGATCCCGAAATTTTTGTAAGTTAGGATCAGATCTAAATCAAGTTTTAAAAAAGGGTCAAAACACGAAACTTAGCCACTCTGTTTTATCGCACGTCGTAAATCATCGAGTGATGCACGCATAGATGAGGCCAAACTCAACAATAAAAAATAAAAAAATTAAAAAGATAAGGCCAAATTGCCCCTGCAAACGTCACAGTTGCGGTGGCTGTCCGGCAAACAACGATCGACGAGTCCAACGTACGCACGTCACACCTTGCCGCTGTCAGGTCGCTGCTTCGTACGACGACGCTGTGGCAACCAGGTCCTGGTAGAACGCGCGGAACGCCTCCATCTCGCCGCGGGGCAGCGCCAGCCCGACCTCGATGCCGCCGTCCCCGTCGCGGCCGCTCTCCGCCAGCGCCAGCGCGCCCGTCCGCTCCACCGAGACGATCTCCACCTTGCGGGGCCGTCCCCACGGCGCTCCCAGATCCGTCGCCGCGTACACGCCCAGCTTCGGCGACCCGGCCACGGTCACCGCGCACGCCGACGCGTACTCCCGCACCAGCCGCACCCATCCCCGCGCGTCCCGGAACACCCGCCCCTGCTCCGCGAGCCCCTCGATCGCCCGCCATATCGCCGCGGAGGCCGTGGCCGCGGTGAGGCAGCCGCTCAGCTTCGCCTCCTCCTCCTTCCCCACGCGGCAGAGCCCCAGGCAGTTGCCGAAGTAGTTTCCCGGCACCGGTGGTGTCGCGCGGGGCTTGCACCCGGTCACGAACCCGAAGCTGGCGCTGCTGCCGCGCGCGTGCACGATGCCTGCCCAGACAGCACCGCACGCCAATGCGTACGGCGAGCACCGCCGCGCCGTGGTCTCCGAGTCCACCTGCCTTCCGAGCCCACGGAGCAGCCTGTCCGTGAACCGGAACGTCGCGAGGTCAGCGGCGCCCGGACGTTGACTGAGGTCCCAGTCGTGGAGCCGCTTGCCGCCGGCCGCCGCAAGAGCCCGGTGGTCGCGGAGAAACACCTCGCGGAGCCCGTTATCGTCTCGCACGACGCTGCGGTCGAGCAGCGGGGGCGCGTCCACCGCGGCCCACTTCCCGCCGCACTCGGGGCCGAGGCGGTGGATGGCGGCCCACGTCCTCATGAAGTGCACGTAGCTGGAACCGTCGGCCACGGCGTGGTGTAGCGTCGTGCCAATGCACAAACCGGCGTGAGGGAACACGGTGAGCTGGACGGCAAAGACATCCTGCGTGCTGCATCGAGAGCCGCCGCCGCCGCCGTGTCTCGGCAGAGAAGGCGGCAGCGGACGGAGCCTCGCGGTGTCGCGCGCGAGGTCGCCGGCGAGGTCCTGGAAGTCGTCGCCGCCCACCGCAACCGTTAGGCGGACAGAGTCGCCGTCCGAGAACAGAACCTCGGGCGCCCCGGCCTCCGGTATGCTGCACACCAGCGTCCCGGCCAAGGGATAGAAGTGGTGCAGCGCGGCGGCCAGGGACTTCTCGAACAGGGGCAGCTCGTGGAGGAGGAACTCGGGGGCGCCGGGGAGGTCGGCGTTGTCGTAGAAGAAGAGGCGCTGCACGGGCGGGACGTCCCAGAAGACGATGTCGAAGAATGTGAGCGGCAGTGTCCGTGGCTTCTCGGCCGGTGGCGACGGCGACGGCGAGACCTGGCACTGCTCCAGGACTGTCAAAGGGTTAAGTAGACCGGGCGCCATCGCCTTGGACCTTAGTCCTGACTATGGATTCCGGCCTACCTTTTCTCGTAGCCGGTGGACAGCGGTCAGTGGCGCCTTCCAACGAAATTGCAAACATTTGTAGTCATTTAATGAATTCGTACTAGCAGGCAGAAGAGCGGCGGCACGCCGCACCCATAGAAGAGCCCGTTCGTATCTTTGGTGTTGATTTTGTTAAAGAAATAAAATAAGAGAGCCCGTTTGAATCACCTAGAAAAGGAAAATAATGACAGGTATGTTTATTATAGAAATGCCTAATACTGATGTGCAAACAGAGCATGAGAAACGTTATCAATTCATGGACATGAAAACTCAAAACACTTGCATTACAATTTTAGGAACCTAAGAACAGAAGCAAATAAAACCAAGAAAAATAAAATCCATGCAAAGGATATAGGAGTATGTAATCATGCATTTTTAAATTATAGTGTTGTCTTTTGAAATTTAGTATATTGTGTCTCTACTCCATCAGAGAAATCAATGAATAAGAAGTTCCATGATGATCATTTTCCGCAAAATAATGTCCTGTCAATAGTGCCCCCATCACAAGGAGCAAACATGTTATGTTTCCAACGCTTACATTAAGATTGATTTATCTTCCCTTTGCTTGTAGAATGAAATAATGGTAATATATGCCACAAATCTCATATATGGTACATATCAAAAAAAGGCAACCTGGTGCATGTAGCTCCCGCTTGCGCAGGGTTTAGGGAAGGGTCCGACCACTTTGAGTCTATAGTACGCAGCCTTTCCCTACATTTCTGTAAGAGGCTGTTTCCAGGACTTGAACCCATGACCTCATGGTCACAAGGCAGCAGCTTTACCACTGCGCCAAGGCTCCCCTTCATATGGTACATATCAATGAGGAAAATTAACATCTGAAGCATCTTTTGAGGATAAAATAGTTATTAGCAAATTCATATTATAGACAAGATAAATTTTTACAGAAGAATATATGAAACAAAGCATCACCTGTAGTCAAATCGAAACGACTAACAATTCCGCAAAAGAATACTAATTGAAGTGAAAACACTTAAGAGCAAATAATGCATCATCTTTGGATTTAATATAATTTTTCATCTTAGACCGTACTCAAGTTTGCACACATGTATGCAGATTCATTAAGTAGTAACAAAACTTCTATATAGACAAATATCATATGAACAACATAAAAAAAATGAAAAGTTCAGACGTTACAAATAACCATCAAACCAGTGAAATGCATATTGTCAGCAAAAAAAATGTAACAAAGTAAGTGACAACCCAAAAATGGTAAAAGCAATACGACTAAAAAATTTGAAAGAGATAAATATAGAAACAGGGGAGCCATCATGCACAAATCATACATTTTTGGAAGTTAGGCATTTTGAACCGAATCACTATTTCCGAACCTACATATGATAAAAACAACATGAGTTGTAAGTACATGTGGAGGATCATCCTGTACTATGTCACTGTGTGTGTAAATCAGGTTGTAGCATGTTTATCGTTCATCCTGTGACGCCCTCGATTCAATCGTACACTAATCATGCACGCAAACGTGTACGATCAAGATCAGGGACTCACGGGAAGATATCACAACACAACTCTAAAATAAAATAAGTCATACAAGCATCATAATACAAGCCAGGGGCCTCGAGGGCTCGAATACAAGTGCTCGATCATAGACGAGTCAGCGGAAGCAACAATATCTGTGTACAGACATAAGTTAAACAAGTTTGCCTTAAGAAGGCTAGCACAAACTGGGATACAGATCGAAAGAGGCGCAGGCCTCCTGCCTGGGATCCTCCTAAACTACTCCTGGTCATCGTCAGCGGGCTGCACGTAGTAGTAGGCACCTCCGGTGTAGTAGTCGTCATCGACGGTGGCGTCTGGCTCCTGGGCTCCATCGTCTGGTTGCAGCAATCGAGTAGAGATAGGGGGAAAAGGGGGGAACAATGCAATCGTGAGTACTCATCCAAAGTACTCGCAAGCAAGGAGCTACACTACATATGCATGGATATATGTGTAAAGGGCCATATCAGTGGACTGAACTGCAGAATACCAGAATAAGAGGGGGATAGCTAGTCTTATCGAAGACTACGCTTCTGGTCACCTCCGTCTTGCAATAGGTAGAAGAGGGTAGGTTGAAGTCCTCCAAGCAACATCACATAGCAATAATCCTACCCGGCGATCCCCTCCTCGTATCCCTGAGAGAGAGCGACCACCGGTTGTATCTGGCACTTGGAAGGGTGTGTTTTATTAAGTATCCGGTTCTAGTTGTCATAAGGTCAAGGTACAACTCCAAGTCGTCCTGTTACCGAAGATCACGGCTATTCGAATAGATTAACTTCCCTGCAGGGGTGCACCAACTTACCCAACACGCTTGATCCCATTTGGCCGGACACACTTTCCCGGGTCATGCCCGGCCGCGAAAGATCAACACGTCGCAGCTCCACCTAGGCTCAACAGAGAGGCCAGCACGCCGGTCTAAACCTAAGCGCACAGGGGTCTGGGCCCATCGCCCATAGCACACCTGCACGTTGCGTACGCGATCGAAAGCAGAACTAGCCCCCTTAATACAAGAGCAGGCTTACGTTCCAATCCGGCGCGCGCCACTCAGTCGCTGGCGTCACGAAGTGCCTCGGCTGATACCACGACACCGAGTGCCCATATCTTTCCCACGCAGTTGGTTAGTGCGTATAGGCTCGTAGCCAACTCAGATCAAATACCAAGATCTCGTTAAGCGTGTTAAGTATCCGCGAACGCTGAACAGGGACAGGCCCACCTCTCTCCTAGGCGGTCTCAACCTGCCCTGTCGCTCCGCCACAAAGATCCACTCGCGGGTGCTCCACCAGCCGACCCGACTTTAGTCTCCACATGTATCATGTATAAAGTATATAGTATAAACCCGTGATCACCTCCCGAGTGATCACGGCCCGATAGTATAGCACGGCTGACGGACAAGAATGTAGGGCCACAGATGAATATACTAGCATCCTATACTAAGCATATAGGATTGCAGGTAAAGGTAACAATAGTAGTATCAAGGACAGGCTATGCATCAGGATAGGTATAACAGAAAGCAGTAACATGCTACACTATTCTAATGCAAGCAGTATAGAGTAGAATAGGCGATATCTGGTGATCAAGGGGGGGGGGGGCTTGCCTGGTTGCTCTGGCAAGAGAGAGGGGTCGTCAACTCCGTAGTCGAACTGGGCCGCAGCAGCGTCGGTCTCGTAGTCTACCGGAGAGAAGAGGGGGAATAAACAATGAATACCATGTAAACATATGCATATCGATGCATGACATGACAAGTAACGATGCTAGGCGGGCCCTAACGTGGTATGAGGTGGTACCGGTTAAGGGGGGAAACATCCGGGAAAATATCCCCGGGGTTTCGTGTTTTCGGGCAAAGGAGCCGGAGGGGGAAAGTTGCGGGTTCGATAGGTTAGGGGTGTGTGGCGGACGAACGGACTGCGTATCCGGATTCGTCTCATCGTTCTGAGCAACTTTCATGTTGAAAATATTTTAATCCGAGTTACGGATTAAAAGATATGATTTTCTAAAGATTTTATTAATTTCTAGAATTTAATTAATTATTTATCCCAACATTATCCAGAATAGTAAATGATGACGTCAGCATGACATCAGAGTGATGTCAGCAGTCAACGTTGACCATTGACCTGGTCAACCTGACGTGTGGGTCCAGTGGGACCCACCTGTCATTCTCTGTTTAGGTTAATTATAGATTAGTTAATTTAATTAGTGATTAGGTTAATCTAATCAGGATTAATTAACTTAATTAATTAATTAATTAATAACTAATTTTATTAAACCATTTTTATTTTTAATTTTTATTTTTAATTTTAATTCTAATTCTCTTTTTTTTAATAAAACATTATGGGGCGTGGGGCCCCATTGTCATAGGGCCAATGGGGGCCTTAGCGTTACGGGCATGCGGGCGTGCGCCCGAGTCCACCCGGGAAGGGGGCAACGGGCGCCTGGGCGGGCGCTCACCCGCAGGGAGTGCGACGGGGCGAGGCCGGTGGCCA